GATAGATAGATAGATAGATAGATAGATAGATAGATAGATAGATAGATAGATAGATAGATAGATAGATAGATAGATAGATAGATAGATAGATAAAATACTAGCACTGGTAATGTTACCTTATTGATCATGAAATGTCTGCAAGAAAATCACCAAGCTTAGAGGGCACCAAAAGACCCCACCAATAAAATAAGCTTCCAGATACTCTTTTAAGGGCAGCCACATATAGAGCACAAAATATTCCATATAATTCATCTGTGGCATTTTCAGCATTAAAAAGGTTTTTTAATTATCTTTTCTAACTATGCAAGATTAAAATATCTACGCCTTTTGTATCTTAAATGTGTCCCAAAAGGTTAACTTACTAGTAGAACCTGTATTATTTTTTTCCAAAAACTCTCTAATGTCCTTCTTAACATATTCCACAAAATAAGAATCTCTTATGAAGGTAATACTCTGGTGCTATCTGGGATTACATTATTGATAGTTTTTAAATATCAAAATTAAACTCAGTGGAGAATCTCTGTATTAGCCCACACTAACTTGACACTCTAAAGCAGGATAAAATAAATAAATAATTTAGTCTAGAACAGTTTTAGTAGATTTTCTACTGTTGGGGTTTTTTTTAAAAAAAAATCTTAAATTCTGTAATGTATGCTTACATTACTTCCACTTTTTCTGTCTCACTGAAGATCGAGGTTGAGATTGAATTCACCAAAAAGACTTAACAACAATGATTTGCAAAATATAATTTTGAAAAAAAAAATGGATTATTTCAGATTTGTTCTTAGTAGAAGCATAAAAAACTATGTCACTGGCTATCTTTATAATAAAAAATTAAGACTCTTTCAGAGCAAAATGCTTGTCTTCCACATCAACTTTAGAGTCACTATTAAACTTAATAAATATCCCACAATTGTTACTTGATACCCACTAATAGAAGTTTATCCAGTTCAGTTGCCAGAGCTCAAGAAAAGCTGCTCATCTAGGATTTCTTCTAATATATCTGTATCTGTTGCTATTTTTCTTGCTTGTTACAAATGTGTCTGTTTTGGTTTTTTTTAATCTAAATCCATTTATATTCCAGCTGATTACTATAAGTGCCATGTCTCCATGTAGATAAAATATTTCTCAAGGTCAAATTCCCAAAATTACAGACATACTGTATTAAATACTAAATAAAGGAGAAGCTTTAAGTAATGAATATGGATCAAATTAAAAAAAAAACATAAAACAAAAAGTGTCAAAATAAAGAAGATACCCTGCCCAACTAATACTAAAAATTAAAAAAAAATCTTCCATCTTAAACCTTCAGTTTGATTTTGGGTGTTGCTGACACATATACAAGCATGGGAGAGGGGGAGAGAGGGGGAGAGAAATACACATTCCTCCTGCATTGGTAATAAAGACATAGAAATGCAAGCTTCTATATTCATATAGTAGTAACAATTTTTGAGAGAAAGAAAAAGAAGAAAAGACAAGCTTGTTACTTATCAGACAAGTGCAGAGCCTTTAAAAATTCCACAGCAGCAGATGGGCTTTTAAATCTTTTGATCTCTTCAGGAGAAAGGCAGAAGATTGCTGGGTACAAAAAAAGTATTTCACATTCTTGTTCCTTGCTAATTACGTGCCAAATCAAAGCCTCTTCTTAAATTTGACATTTATGAAGGAAGATATGGAGAATCATTATTTAATATTCATGATATTTCAATTCCGTGGTTTATCTATTAAGTGGTAGAAGATGGCCTCTCATGCTGGACTTCAGAAATTTAACAATTAGGGATTGTCTTTTGTTTTTCATCTGTAGGCAACCAATATTTCAAGTTTAATGTCAGCTGGCAATATGATTTGCTGAAAACATTCTTCCAGATAAAAGAACAAGAACTTCTGTTTCTCCATATCCTGAGGTAAAGTTCTTATTTTTAAGGTGTTTCTTATCAGATGTCCATGAGTTTTAAATCGTAGGATTTGCAGATGTGCAATGAAGTTGTTCCTTTATATCTAAAATGCTAAATCTGGTTTCATGAAAAGTAACAATAATTTTCCTCAAGGCCTCCAAATCTTTGTCAACTTTAATAACTTGGGCTTTCGTTGTGTTAAATTCACCATGGAACCCTGATATGCCAGATTCCAGGCTCATAAATATACAATCCATCCATTATACGAAGGTTCACTTTTCATTCAAAGCTCATTATTTCTTCTTGTGGAAGAAGCGATACATTTGGGGTTAATACAGCTTTGTATAATCCAACAAAGTCAGGGAAAGTATCTATGATACCATCCATTCTGTGAAGTGCAATAAAGTGCATAACTCATTCAACTTTCTTCCCTCTCCATCATCAGGAGTGGAGCTCTTTGGGCTGACTGACAGAGAGCCATCCTCATCACTTTATGAGGCACTAAAGAGTTGTTAAGAATTTAGGTCTAGATCACTCACCAATGTCTGAGCAATTCTGTCGAAAGGATTGGAGCAAGATAAAAGAAAGTGACTGCCTAAGCAGCCATCAAAACCAGAAGTTCACAAAACAGCTTTAAGTGTGAAGCAGAAGTACGTACTTCATGAAATTCTCTCCCCCCCCCGCCCCCAATATTTGAGATCACAGAAATGAGAGAGGCATTTTTATGCTCTTGTCTCAGGCAGGAAAATATAATTTATCAGCCCTGTCATTCCATCTTCAGAAGTTAGCTCAAGTTGTAAATTCCTGAGGATTACTTGTTCCCCTATGAATAAGTCTTCAAACAAACAATGGGTGCACGACTGTATGGGATTTCCATGGTATTATGTTATTACATGAATAGACTAAATAAGTGTTGCAATGCCTTTTTTTGTCTTAAGGTGAGTACAGATATAGAAAACTCTAACTCTTGTCTGCCATCTAGTGGCGTTCTCTCTCTCTCTCTCTCTCTCTCTCTCTCTCTTGCTCTCTCCCTCTCCCTCCCTCTCCCTCTCCCTCTTTCCACTTCCCTCCCTCCCTTCCTCTTTTCAGCTCAGCTCTGATCACCCCATTCCTTTTTTTTACAAAGGGAAAGGAACAATCTCTCTAATCTTTAAGGTTAACACTGAATTCAAACAAGAAACGAACTGTAGAAAATTAATTAAGGTCAACCACATATTAGGAAACATTTACAAATATGTGCTTCTTATCATCACGTAATAAAAACTCCTGCTAAATGCAAGGCGGTAAACAAATTGTGCCAACTCTGTCCTAATTCTGTTTTAGCATACCTGGTTCGAAGTATATCCAGACAAACTGGCAAATACTTGTCAAACAAAATGGTCAGGTTAGCTCGTTCTGACTGAGTTTCTCTTCTGTCAATCCAGCTACTCACTGGAGGATTCCAGCCTAGATCAGCTGGGTTGATATAAAGGATCCCTGAAGATACAAAAGAGCAGGATTAGTCCTAGAATTTTCACATCTAAGTTACTGTAGAAAGTCCCCCATGAGCTAAATCTCTCTCCTGGTGATTTCATGGATATGCCCATGTTGTTCCCCTAACAAACAAACAAAATGAAAGTGGGTAGTTAATCCCTACTTCTAGGATATATATATATATATATTTCCCAACCTCGTATATAGTCCTGAGTACTTCCATCTGAGTACTAACTAGCTTTGATTTTATTTTGACAAATGCTACCACACAGAAGACAAAGAGACTAAAATGTAATACGTTTTGTACCAAACTCTTAACTTGTTTAAACCTAGTGCCCACCAGGTGGGTTTGAATATACAGTAATTACCATAATCTTACAGAGGGACTGGCTATGCACAGGCATTGGCTTTTTTTTTTCAGAACTTAGATTTATCATCTAAAACTAAAGTAGGCACTAGGTAAAAATTTACCTAGTTGGATACTAGGTAAAACATATCTTATCTTTAAACCAAGCAAATCTGAAAGGCATTAATTTTTAAAACAAAGGCTCTCTTGGTAGAGGTGTAGATATTTAGATAAGTGCTACAATTTGTGGTAAAACCAGGTAGGTAAAAATTTGCAGCATTCTTGTTCTGGATCCCAGAACATGGTTACCAGAACAAGTTCTGGGGGCAGCTGGAAGGGGTCAGAAAAATCAAGATGGCAGCTACAATCACACAATCCACCCCACTTTTTTTTACATGCATCACCTCCCTGTGGATATCCTGACAAGTCCATATACCAAAAAAAACCTAGACAAATCAGAGTTGGCAATCACATGGACCCGTCTATTGTTGTTAACTGTAATAAGCTTGGATAAAAGGCATTATATAATTAAACATTACACTCTTAAGCATGGCTCAGGGTTTAAGACAAAACTCTAATTGCCTCTGGGCTCAAATTTCTCTGAATGCAGTTCTAAAGAAAATATATATTCTTTAGTCTAGCCTTCCCTTATCAGGTGACTAACAACGGAGTTTAATCTGTTTGTTTGTTTTGTTATCGATATACTTATCTATCTCATGGCGGTGACTGATGCTTAGCATAGCTAGTCCCTCTGTAAGATTATGGCAGATAAAATTCAATTCCTCTGGTGGTTATTAGATTTCCCAGAGTTAAGCCTGATTCCTCCCATATTTTGCCATGATAAGGATAAAGCTTAGCCTTCTTTCTCTCCTCTGTCAACTACCTGCTCGAGACACAGTGGCTGGAGTGGCAGTCCGCAGGTGACTGATCTCAAACAGAAGCCTCATAGTGGGGTTGAGCGGGATCCGTTCATTGCTTGCTAGTGTTAATACCTGCAAAAGAAGGCATCCAGATTGGAAATTCAAAGCACAATGTGACCCGCAGCAGCCCCTTTGGAAAGGGAGTATAAAATGTATACCTCACATTATTTCTCCAAAAAGGGCTCACTAAAATGTCTTATAAGCAACAAGGCAAAGCAATGTTAAATTAAATGAGGTAATTATGAAATCAGTTTATTTAAAGGGATATCCTCTTGAATTGGCCATGGAAGAAAACCTGACCCTTCAGCAGGGAGGCCCCACCCTAGAAAACATTCTCAACGCATATGCTTAAAAAGGCAAGGGGACATATTAATGGGCCAAAAGAGCTGAGCTTCAAGGGAGCGTTCCTGCAATTTTCCCCAAATTTGTCGTGATTTAAATTTTAAAAGGTATTGAATTCGTTCAGAAAATGGCCTGGCGGTCAGCATATCTGGCAGAATAAAGGGAGGATCTAATCCTAGCGGCTCACAACATTTTAACAGCAACAACATTCTGTAATCCTCAAAGGCAGCCCAACATAGATCATAAGCCAAAGGCATCTGCAAAGGGAGTTGAAAAGAGTCAAAGTGGCAGTCTTGATTAGAGAACTGAAGGCCTTCCCACATTGCACATTCCCTGTAGGAACCATATTGACAACACTTCAATTGCTCTAGCAGTAAATGACAGAAGTCTTGCAATCTGCTATTTATAAGAGTCACAGAAAGCGTATGTGTGATTTTCAGAACTATTGCCCAAAGGAAAGGGGTACTTAATATTATTTGAAAATATTCTTCTGTATACTCAGGGTAGATTTTTGAAAACTCAGTTAGACATTATCTGGTTTAATTTGTTGTGATTAAAATCACCATAAAGATTATCCATAGCTATTCTATAGCCTACATTTAAAAATATGTATTGCCTTTGAACTTGTCTTTTACCTTATTGTCATCCATGACAGTATTGAGAGATTCAATCCACATTGGATCAATATCACCATCCAACACAATCCATTTGGGGCCATCATGGGTAATGTTGGCTAAATCTCGCATAATCGATGAGAACAATCCTAAAGACATCATAGACATCCTTTCTACTCTTAATAGTAACTCAAAAAAGTTTTAATCAACATGCATGCAAATGAGCAAAGGAAAACTAGATGCAGTTAATTAAATCTAGGTAATAAAAAAACAACAGGGTATGAATAGAATTGTATTCATGAAGAAATGAAGAATTATTATCAAATAAATAATAAATAATCTCATTGAAAAATAATCTCACATCACTTTACACAGCTGAGTCTGATAGAGCAATTAAAAAAACTACCCTACGGACTCTTATTAAGATAAAAAGGAAAGTAAAAAAGAAGAATTATGGTTTTGAAAAAGATTTTGCTACTGCTTTACTCATTCTCCCCAATTCTTCAACTGAATATTATGTTCATAGAAAGAACATAAATACAATCAAAGGTTCACATATTCATATCTCTGAACAATTACAAAATTTAGCACAGAAAATATTCTTGTTTTCTACCACGGGGGATTTGTCTGAAAAAAATATGCTGTAGGTGCAGGTGTATTTTAAATACTCATACTTCAAAATATTGATTCATTTATTCAATTTGTATAGCTTCTTCTTTCAAACAAGTGACTTGGGGCAGAAAAACACACCTTAGCATCAAGATATCCATGAAATATGTATATATCAAATTCTATTCTCAAAACTGTTTAAGCATCTTTAGAACAAAGTATATTGACTTTCCAAAAATGAAGTCTTTGCTTAGAAAAATATTTGAGGAAATCTTGTATGTATGCTTGGGAGGCTTCTGTATTTTTATTGTTTGTTCCAGACACAACAGATCTGAACACAACAGAGACCATTTATAATATAACTGCATATTCTCTATATGGCCATAGTTGATAATATGGGCTATTTCCTAGATGTTTCTCAATCATACCTTGAATCTGTTCTGTTTTAAAACTCAAAGCAAACACTTAGAAGTCAGATTTTTGTAACTGTTTTTTGGTGATTTGGCAAGTTTTATGAAAAAAAAAAGCCTTTTGTTGGATTTCAATGCACAATCGTGATCTTACCATCTTTCCATTCTCTTGTAGACGGATTGATGATGCCGAAGAGTTCATCGTTGGTCACTGCTTTTGGATTGAGGTCTGTCCAAACAGGTCTCCTCTTCATGATATGGTAAGTCTTGTTCAGAGATTTCAGCACTTGTGACTTGCCTGTGCCTGCGTTGCCCACTACAAAGACAGAGTGTCGAACAGCAAGGAGCTCTTCAAGCTGTACTACCTAGAGTCAGAAGCCAATGAGAAAAAAAAAACACCATTGTGGTCACACTTATTACTTGCTATGCAGACAAGTGCTATATATCCACTTCAAAAGAAACTGAAAAGCCAAGTTGCACAAGACACAAGCAGAACAGGATAAAACTAAAATAAGTAAGAAAAACCATGCTAGAACAGGGGAGGGGGAACAAGTCCACTATTTGGTGGCCAGTCATAGCATTTTACTTATTCTCCATGAATGTGTCTAATTCCCTTTAAAGGTTTACTAAGTTGATGATAGAAAATTCCACAAGTTAACTCTGTGCTGCATAAAGAACATCATTTTCTTTGCCCTGAATTTCTCAGTGCTTAAACTTGACACGATGACCTAGAATGCTGATATGTCGTCATGTTTCATTTTTTTATCATTTTCATATCCCCTTTTATTTTCTTTTACTATGCTAAGAGGTACAAAGCATTTAAATGATTCCTTGTGAAGGAACTCAACCATTCTGGTTGCCCATTTTCCAATATTTAGCAGACCTACAATAACCTTTCTGAGGAATAAAACTGGGAGACCATAAATTTAAGTCCTGCCTTAACCATGAAAGACAGCTGGGTGATCTTGGGCCCATTATTTTGTCTCAGTCCAACCAACTTCATAGGGGGAGGAATGAGTACTAGATATGGTGCCCCCCTTGAGTTATTTGTTAGAAAGGTGGGATATAAGTAAATAAATATTTCAACATGGTTGCATTGCAGAATTCTAGAAAAGATTTACAATTCACTTCCAATTCTTCCCTAATGTTCATAAAATGAAGAAACAATGGTGAAATACTATGGGGTAAAGAGTGAGAAATCTGAAGAACTATCAATGCAACCAGTGATTAATAATTAAATGCATACTTTATATACATACATACATACATACATACATACATACATACATACATACCCTTTTAAAGTAGACATAAGAAACTATCTCAAAAAAAAGTAAGAAAATAAAAGCATTCTGGCTACAGTCTGAAAGCTGAATGAATGAAAGTCACCATCTTACTTTGAGTACAAAGTTGTCCTCCGGTTGAAGTTTCAGTCCCAGCACAGCTTGTTTTACAAAGGATTCAAAAGGGAGGTCTCGTTTTCTTGGGACATCCAAAGCAGGAAACAGGTCTCCAATCAGACCCATGAATACTGGCATGTCATCTGTCACAATCTTTGGAATGTTAAAGTCCCGGAGAGAGCGCATCAGCACCTGATCTTCTGGACGGTCTGGGTCTCCTCTCTTGAGGGACCCAGCTACAACCAAGACTGATTTGATTGCACGTAATCCCCAGTCATAATGATCCTAATAAGGAGGAGAAAAGGAAGAAGAGGGTAGCTCATTTCAACTCGTACACACACCGCGCCTGAAGGTAAACATCTCTGCATATCTCCACATGCTATCAAAGGAGCAACAACTAATGATATCCTTGCCTTCACCCTCAACTTCCTGTTGAAAGAACCTGAAACCCAAACTTTCTTCTGGAACCTTGACAGTCTGGAACTATCAAGGTTAAAGAAGTGATATCAGGAGACAACTGGTATAATGGACTTGATAAGAAATGTTGAAAATTAATATTGTGCCTGGAAGATCCTAATTCCAGAAACAGCAAGAGTAAAATCCACATCACCTACACCTTAGTTATTTGGTAAATTAAAGCAATTCAGATAGGAATAAAAACAAGGAGAACAATTGTTCCTACTTTATATTCTAGAATGCTTTGGAAAAGTAAAGGTATGCATAATGTATCTCTGAAGTTGTTCTCAGAACTGAAATTTGTCTACATCTGATATTATATAATTATTTAAATCTACTTACCTGCTTGGAAAGAAGTTCTTTGCATAACTGATAAAGGGTAATGAACTTCCGAGCTAATAATCGGGCTTCGATAAATCCTTCAGCCACCAGCATAATTTCACAGATCAGCTCAAAATCTGGCACAACCATTGCACAGGGTCTAGGGGGGAAAATCCATAAAATGCATCGGGAAAGTGCCTTATACAACACCAAAATGTATGTCCGTTTACCCTATTCTGTTGATCTACTGAGAAGGTTTTCTGGATTTGGGGGACATTTCTTTTGTCCCATCACCTATGGGTAATGCTCTTTAAGGAGTAAAACAGACAAGCACAAATTCATGATACCCTGCTGAATTGAATCTGGAACTTCTACGTATATACAAAGAATGTTCTGTAACAGGGATCACCAACCTTTCAGCCCCCCCCGGATGACTAAATTCATAATTTTAAATCCCACGGACCACTATATGATCTGTCTAATGACCGGCTGGGTGGGAGTGGCAAGGTGGTCATGTGACTGGGTGGGCATGGCCAACTCAATGTCACTCACATCGAGGGATGCCTTGCCAGCCTCTACTCGCCACTCCTTGCCTGCCTGACCGGTCTCCTTAGGGCCCCAACAGGAAGCAATTGCTGGAGCTAAGGAGCCAGCATGAGAAAGAGTTGGCAAAACAGCTGGTTCAGTTCAAATTGGATCTGACTGAGAAGGCGACTCAGCAGAAGCACCTCACTGAGGACTACAAGCCTAGGCTTTCCAAGCAGATATTAAATATTAAATATTTCCAAGCAGATATTAAATATATGCAAATATTAAACAAGCTAAACCTGAAGTCTTCACAAATTAACAATACTTCCCCTGGCCTGCTGCAATAGTACTTAAAACTATTCATCCAGTCTCACATGTCTAGAGTTCAAATGACAGTATAATTTCTTCAAGGGTAGTAAAGGTGTATATCACATAAAACTATCAGAGAAAGTTGGAAGGGAATCTTTTTTTTTTCTCTCAAGGTGCTGGAGGGTGGATCTCCAGTATGCCAATGGTAGTATATAGAAGATATGCATATGTTGCAAAAGGCTGAGGGCTATGTACAATGCTGGGGTGCTATTTGTATCGCTGGACCAGTGGTGGGATTTAAAAAAAAATTACTACCGGTTCTGTGGGCATGGCTTGGGGGGCATGGTGTGGCTTGGTGGGCATGGCTTGGTGGGCGTGGCAGGGGAAGGATACTGTAAAATCTCAATTCCCACTCCACTCCAGGGGAAGGATACTGCAAAATCCCCATTTCCTCCTGATCAGCTGGGACTCAGGAGACAGAGAATAGATTGGGGCAGGACCAGTCAGAGGCCAGTCAGAGGTGGTATTTACGGGTTCTCCGAACTACTAAAAAAACTACCGGTTCTCCAGAATTGCTCAGAACCTGCTGAATACCACTTCTGCACTAGACACTGTTGAAACAGTTTGCTATAATTGGTTGTAGGTGACAACATCAAGGATCTCCAGTACATGAATGATGAATGGTTCCAGTATAATAAAAAGGAATAGGAGTTGGATCTGGTTTCCTATCTTCATTGCAATCATTGCCTCCTTGCTCTCAGTATTGCAGACCATCCCAATGTTTCTCCATGAGAGATGTGGCCAAGGAAAGCTATAAGTATTTTATGGACTTCTCCAACCAAATTGTAGGGGCACCTCTAAAGATTAGTGATTGGACACAGCTGGGAGTGAGGCAGTCTGGTTAATGCCCTGAAAGCCTTCCTTTCAGCTTTTAATTAATTTTAACTTTCTTGCCTCTCTCTACATTTTTAACTTTTATATACTATTTTAATACTTTATTGTACACTAAGCAGAGTCCTTCTATGAAGGAAGTGACTGAATAGGCTTTTTTCTACTGCTAAATCACACTGCTCCCTTATTTATCCACATTCAACTTGCTTACAATCACTCAGATTCCTGTATCATGTTTCCAAGGCAAGGTCCCCCAAATCTGACCCTGTGCATTTGATTTTTTTTTTTAACAGATACAGGATTTTTACAACTGTCACCAGTGAACATCATTCTATTGGATATGGCACAATGTTCAAGCCCATTGAGATATTTTTGAACTCTGGTTTTTGTTTTCAATTTCTGCAGATTTAGCAAGCCTTCTTTGCATTTCACTTTTTAGTCATCTATAAAGGTTTTGAATCACACAGGTCAAGGAAGGATCCTGGGAATTCTGCTTTCTTTCAGGGCAAAGCAGAAAAATGTCAGATAGTCCTTTGGGTGCAGTTGGTATCAATCTGTTGCCTAACTTTGCTTTATCTTGAAAGAGGTTGGTCAGGATTGGAACAAAGTGTCCTATGTATTTGATTTTATTTGATCACCAGGTTCTCTTAATCATCAAATAACTCAAGGCGGGATAACCTAAGCAAAACCCCAAAATTGTACAATTGGATTTGCTTTGGAGGTCACTGTCCCATGCTACATAACTAGCAAATATTCTTTGCCCATTCTCTGTCCATTCTTTATTTGCGCCTGTTAGAATTTATGGCCATCTTTGCTGCCAGAGAAAAGATTTAACACATCTGTGCACAGGACAGAATCTCCCCTACTCACTTGAAGAAACAGAACCAATATTTCCTGTGTTTCCACACTGTCCCCTTTATACTGTGTGTCAATTCAGTGTCATAACACCTCCACTCGTACAGACTCTGAGGAGATAGTGCCTGCCCTTCTTTTAGCTGACAGGTCACAAGATAGTTCCAGAAGAACACTAAATTTATAGCAATTGCCATCACTATTACACGCTCAATTGTTTAGCAATTCTGGAAACCTTAAAACATTTTCTGTAAGCATTTTGGCTATTTATAATGTGTTTTGCTGTTTTCTGCTACATTTGTTTTTGGTCTTTGTCCATTAAAACAATTAAACTACACTACACTAAATTACGCTGAACTAAGTTCTACCAAATGTTGCTGTGAGGAATGAGGTAAATACTTTTAATAAACCACAACTATAAATTTCACAAAATTAGGGCACTGACTCACCTAAAAAGAGCCTTCAAATTCTCTGGCAGTTCCGTACGCCCTGCGTAGCCCGGGTTCATGGTTATGAATATACCGACAGAAGGAACTAATTTAATGTCTTCTCCAAGGAAATTAAAGTTCTGTTTTTTGTCTCTTATAGCATCCTGTATGCTTTTCACCTGACAGTAAGAGAAGATAGTTTGTTAGCAAGCTTAGCTGATTTAACAAAACATATCAATATTTTAGAAACAGAGAAATAATGGTTCTATAGATTTTATTTGATTGAGCTACCTGCTTATAAGCTAATGCTGGGACAGACATGAATTGGCCATTATCTTCCCAAAACAGATAAGAACTTTTTTTTATTTTGCATTTAAAATCATTTGATAGGCTGTAACTTGAATAATACATTAAGAATAATTAGTTGAGGAATTTTTCAATCCTGTTTTTCATTTTTAATTATATATCTATCAAAGCATAAAATTAAACATAACAGATATAAACTAAAAGTTTCCTTAAACTATTCAATGCCTGAACCTTAACATATCTTGTAGCAAAGGGTTTATTTTATTATATATCTATCAAAGAATAAAATTAAACATAACAGATATAAACTAAAAGTTTCCTTAAACTATTCAATGCCTGAACCTTAACATATCTTGTAGCAAAGGATTTATTTTAGAGATGGTATCTCTTGAATACCTCCTGTTATTAAAGCCTTAAGAAAAAGACAGTTCCTTTCATTTCTACACATTTTTAATCAAGCTCTGAATAAGAAGAATAAACTAGATGAAAGCAATAACATTCTAAAATCAGATAGCATTTGCATATTTTTACCAAGTTATTTCACCCTTAATATTACCTACTGTCCCATAAAACCTCTTACAATTTCAGAGTTATTAGGATGAAAAATGCAAAGACAGGTGTCCTTCAGGAAAATTAATTCTAATTATAACTTTGCAAAGATACTCCTAATTCAAAAATAGTAGAGCTATATATTATCAAGATTATTATAGGCAACTTTGTGTCAAGCTTCTTAATAGTTATAATTACTGAATAATTCTATCCATTAATCATTAAAGAGAAATTCTGAGTAGATTTTTGGCCACATATTATAAAGTTCTGTGACTCTTTGCATCTTGAGCTCCTCATTTCAAAAGGTTAAAAATGTGGAAGAAATTTCTCGAGCATTTCACAAATTTCAAGAAGTGCAATTGTTATCCTCGTCCTCCAGAACTGGGAATTTTTCTATAGATGTTTAATTTAAAACAAGAAAGTCCAGCAATCCAGAAATGAGTTCCCAAGAATAGAATGTAGTAAATTCCAATACTGATTTCTATCAGGGAAGAAATACAGCTAGCATGACTAAGAAACCTCACACAGAGAATGATATGAATATTAACCCAATATAGGGGTGGGTCATTTAGAAAGATCATTTACATTGGAACCTATACCCAGATTAGTGATCAACATGGTCAAATGGGATACTCCATTGGACCAGAATCCTGCAACTGTCCTGCTCCCCTATTTTTTTTTAATTGCATTTAGGTGATACAGTATGTTTTACCTACCTGTACAGCAACAACCGAGAGAACCTCAACGGAGATTCTGTTAAACTCATCAAAACAGCCCCATGCCCCCGTCTGAGAAAGACCTTTATAAATGTTCCCACAAGACTGCAAGAGAGAGAAAGATGGTAGTGAAATTACCCATAGAATCTGTTTAGTGAAGAGCATGTAATCCATTTCCAACTTCATAAACAATTTAGGAGGTTCGCTAGACACTGATTACACAAAGATGGAACAGAACATGGAAGTGGCATTGACAAATATGAATCATATGTGTTTCTCAAGTGTATATTTTTATTACATAGGGGGAGGTATTTCTCTCAAGGATTTTTTTCTGGTCCCCTCCATGTACAGAGTTACCAATTCAAAAAAAGTATTAATTTTTTTTAATATGGATACAATAGAAGAATTAGATCATTTTTGTATTAACCTTTAGAAAAGTCACCTACTGTGTCAATCATTTTTCAGCCATTACCTTATAGTCCATTTGCTCGGAACAGTTGAACACATATACCATGATGCCAAGAGCTCGGCCCAGGTCTTTGGTGGTCTCTGTTTTCCCGGTACCAGCTGGCCCTGCAGGTGCCCCACTCATCGTTAGATGCAATGATTGTGTGAGAGTGATATAACATCTTCCAGGTACAAAGAGGAAGGAAAGAATAGAAAACAGAAATGAATAAACTTGGTTGCATACTTTGATCTACTTCAATTTTTACTGATAACCAACCAATGACTCCTTTATAATTTTAGGTAGAAATAAAGTAAACTCCATAGAAATTTTGTAAAGAGGAGATGGATTTGAATGGATTAGAATGCTGGAATAACATCAAGCAAACCAGTCTACTTCCTTTGTAACCATTTAGAAACAAAGTGAATTGGCTTCTCTCTGATGAGGTAGGCAAATTCAGAAACACTGTGAAGTTATGAAAAAGGACCCTTTAAAAAAAAACAAAAATATTTGTATTAAAAGATTTTAAATATCTTATTGAATAAAAAAGCAAAGAGGAAAGAAGATAAAGAAAAATAGAATAAAAACATAAAACATGAAATGAACACGCACATATATGAGGCTTCCAATAACTTCCTCTTAGCAGTTACACTGTACATAAATTCTAATCAAACTACTTGCTCCATGATTTCAACATTATTCCCTTCTTTCTATAACATATGCTTTCTAACCATCAAAAATACAAATCACAAAAGTCTTACACAAAAGTCTTCCAGTCATCGATAAATGTCAACAATGACCATTCTGATAAAAGCATAGGCAGCTTATTTAAAGCGTTGCACTGGGACATAAAATCCTCACATCTGTTCCATATCTTTCTGCAGTTCTTTTTCCAGGTCCATGAAGAGGAAATGTCTTTAAGAAAGTCAGCAGCTGGATCTGAATTGAATCTCCTTACAAGCACAACTTCCTATTGGAAACTACTTGTTTTAGCAAAAATACCCCCCCCCCAAATAAAAAATTCTAAAACAACCATCCACACTTCATGGCATTTTATCAATGTTTTCTCTCCCATGAAGTCATATAGACCCTTACCTGTCTGTTAAAGGAGTGATAACTAGCCGTGGCGTGTTCCCAAGGTATTCATAAGAATACAGGAATTGGGCATCACAAATATTTGCATAACAGTGCTTCTCTTCTTCTGCCCACCTGTGTCGGAGTTGGGATAGCCAAAGAAAGACCTGTGCATTGTCCACCTTTAAGTGCAAAAACCAATGAATAACGTGAAACAAAAGATTCAGCCTAAACTCAGATATAATTCCTAACTTTAACATTTTCTACTACTCCCAGTACTCCTCTCCTACTCTACATTTAAATTACATAAGCTCTCCTAGAATAGTCATTTTTTAACTGAGAGAAACAGACCCTGAAACCTGCATGCATTTAAGATCCAGATCAGTGAAAATATCCCTTCAAAATAATCCCATTGCTACTTTACTAACTTGTCATTTTTGTTTGCAGAGCCCAACTTTAGCAAAGCGAGAAGTACTGTACAATTATCCCATGGCAAATAACTGGCAAAAGCGTTAGTAGTGTGCCTCGTGTTGCAGGACAAACCTTTTGGGCAACCATCTTCGCCACCACATCCCGAGCGTGCACATCGATGGTACAGATGGTCATGATCTTCTGCCTGTCACCCTTCGAGAGGTGTCCAATGAGCATTGTGATCAGGGTGTTGAGCTGTGTCACCTGTTTCTTGTAACAGTCCTTCATGGCATTTTCATAGCCTTCTTCCAGCCTGGCAAAGGCAATCCCAACCTCTGTGGTCCACCAGATTTGTGTACAGGTCAGTGCCACCTTGGAAAAGAAAATCAACTCAACCTCCTTCACAAAGTCACTAGCAACTGATGTGCTACTGGACCGATTTCTGTGTGTATGCATAGAGGTATTTTCATTTACAGAAAAGTAAAATGGGAAATCTACCATGAAGCAAAAAGTATACTTAAAAAGAATATCTGCAGAGGCCCACAAGTTATTACTCGTGGTCAATTCCCCCCCAAAAGCCACATGGAATTTATCAACTGGTAAGAGTGTTTTATTCATGTATTGCACTGTAAATGCGGAGATGTTATAGCTGTATAAGCAGGATTTAGGAATTTCTGGTTCAGGTTGGGATCAATGTATTTGTTCCAGCCATTTTTATCCCTTTTTGAATCATAATTGTTTTTCCTAACTTTATGGGAAATATTAAAATGAAGGGGTGGCAACTCATCAAATAAAAAATAATCTATAAAAGGAAGCAGATCAAGTCAAAGACCATGACAGGCCAGTTTTACATTCACATAAAGACTAAATAGTTAGGGAATAATCTAAAAGCTGAGATTAAATATTTCTGATCTTAAAGATATTTCTTGCTTCCACCTACTTTAGGTAATCTATGAGAAGCCAGTAAAAAGCTCATAAGAAGCATGAAATGTAGAGCTCAATGTCTGTAAATGTCATAGGATAGAAGCAGGATGTTAAGTGTGAAATAAACCATTAGGAGGGCAAAATTATTTTTAAACACAGATAGAAAAGCTTGCGCTGCGGACTTATGCAGATAGCTATGGAAAAGCTGTGAAATATCCGCACTATTTCTTTAAAAAATGAAAAATAAATCAACCAGACTTTTGTTCAGTGCCTGGTATCTAAATCAAGTTTAGACTAGAAAAGCAACCTTTGCCCAGTATATTATAAAAAGAAAACCATTTTCCCCGAGCCCTTATTTATTAGATGCTTGGAGGAAATGGCTTTTCTTTTTAAAGCAAAGCAAAAACTTCTGAGCTGTAAAGCCATTTGATAATCTTTAGTCATTGGCAGCCTGATTCTTGTAGCCCTGATCTGGCTCAAGAGCCATTAAAGTGGAAACAATGTTTATAGAGGGAGCAAAAAGGTTAAACATTTAACAGTTAAACTTTTACTGGTGGCCTTCGGTTTTTTGTTTTTTTTCAGGGTTTGGCGCTGGCTTTTCCCCCTACTGACTTAACACAAAAGCAAGGCTGTTGGCCCTGTAATAGAAACTTCATTTCCCATTATTTTCACAGCACTGTCCTTGACTATGACCCTTTAGTTGTTCTTAATCTCTGAACTCTCGTACATAAACCAGGGACAAGCAAGATACCTGCTGGGTTCCTATGGTGTCATAAGCCATGACATGCTTGCTTGTTTTTGGCTCAAAATGTTACGGTTTAAAAAATCATGGTAAATAGTAAAGGACATATTTATTTAAAATATCTTCTCTTAACCAACAAACCTACTGAGGTCTAGAGAAGAGACGGACAATCTTTTGTTCAGGCTTGCCCTTAACATCTGGAAGGAATAGGGGTCATAAACTAGATTTGATTACATCATCTACTGTGATGACCCGGGGCATGGCACAGAGATAATACAGGCAGCTGGCAGTTCAAACCACCCCTTTTTTGCTTCAAATTTCCCCAAACAATCCCACATTTCTGGCAAATCCCAGAGCAAAGTGATGACAAACACCCACACACACCTCAAGCAGCCTCTGGCTGCAAATAGTCCAGCCCAGTGCTGTGTACACATGGTTGCGCAGCAATAAATCCAGCAGGGCAAATCAAGGAGTTCAGGAAGCAAAGGATCCAGGTAATTAGCCCAGAAAGCCAGAAATAATGCAAGGACTCTTTGAAAGTTCAAATGTCAGCACTCAACACTTCAGATGTACAGTGTTTGTTCCCAACAAATGCCCCTCCCCACAGAGTCTCCGTAAGTCTCACTCCCCAGATGTGCCTTGTGAAGAAGGGTGAGGCCCTCTTCTCCCAAGTAGTCTGCTGAGTCTGCACTGTTCTTGCCTTCTCTCCACTCTCTGTGCTCGCGGATCAGGAGGGGGTGACCCTTGCTCATCACCTGAGCTCTGTCTCTCATGTTCACCTATCTTGGTCCTCCTGCCCCTGTTCCTCCCTGCCTACAAGCTGTCCTAATCCTGAAAGGCCCTGGCCTGACAGGCCCTTCCCCTTCCTCATTTTCCTCTGAAGCCAACAAAGCTTCCCCTTCAATCTCTGTCGGCTCCAGTTCCAGCTCATCTTCCCGCGCAGAATCAGGCTCCGACGAGGCTGATTACTAGGCTAAAATAGTAATTTATGAATGAATAGATGGAAGAGTTTCAGGAATTTTAACACTGAAATATTAATTATAGATTTTGTATTACCATACAGTCTGTTGTTTTTTTTCTGCAACCCAATGTGCCACCATTTTCAGCAATGGTGATCCCAGGGAAGGGAGGAGAGCATTGAGAATTAGAGGAAAATGATTCAATATCTGCAAACAGAAGCTAAAGTGGCTTTAAACTATGACTGATAGACTGACCATCTGCAGTAGAGATGAAAAATGTTCCATATTAGAGAGTGTATCTGTCTATTCCATCACTCTTCCATATATGCTGGACTTAAAGCAGCTGGCATTTTCAATCCAGCGCGGCAAGCAACTGGCTGGGAAATTCCAAAACTAGCAGTCCTATTCATCAGGACTAGAAGTTGCTTGCTTGGGGAAAATGGGAGCAAATATCATTTGCTCAAAAAAAAAAAAAGATTCTCCATATTGTTCCCCAGAAAGAGAAGCAAAGCAATACCTGGGCAGGATAGTCAAACAGCCACTGTTCCCTTGCCTTTTCCTCATAAGCCACCACAGCCTCTGTCATCTCATGCCTTACAGTGGCCCGCATGCGATCCAACACACAATTCAGCCAGCACTCCACCTAGAGAAGAAAGTGGAAAAGTAAGTCAGTAGCCATCTACAATGAGTCCTTCCCTGGAAATATCAAAGAATGTTGCTGGACACCCTCCCTGGAAGAGATCCCGAGGGCTGCACCACCTGAAACTGGTCCTCTTGCTATCAAATTCCATATACTCAAACCTTGTTGGGGTGAGAAGAGGTAGCTGTGAAGTTCGTATATATATATGAAGTTCTTTATTTTTGGTAGCAGGATTGTATAAGTTTTTCCCAACTGAGAGCAATAATTTATCTTTCCAGAGGCCACGCTCCAAATGAGGTCAGGACAAAAATTAGATCTGACTTCATTTCCATTTCTTTAAAACTAAGTATTGTAAATATAATTATGCTCCAGTCATGTATTTAATATTTCCTCTCATTGCATATGATATTATAACATAGTACCAATCTTTGGAGGTGCCTAGTGTCCATTTCCAGGGCTTTTGCGAGCCATAGATCAGGCACCTCTCCTTTGATTAGCATTTTCTGTAGAAAATCTCATAATTGTTCATACTCCACCACATCTTATGGAAAGGATAATTCTATGCTATTCTGAGCATCATATATGTACACTAGGTGAAAATCGGTGAGGAAGCTTCCTGTGGCTTTTTGACTCCAACTCAAGGATTGAAACTGAACTTCTCTAAGTTGTTCAGGATCCATTAAAGATAAAGCTAGACTCCAAAGTAACCATTGGTGGTGTGATGTTTTAAGTCAAACTATTCTCCAAGGTACCTGAGGGAAGAACAAGAAGCAATGGGTGGAAACTAATCAAGGAGAGAAGCAACTTAGAACTGAGGAGAAATTTCCTGACAGTTAGAACAATTAATCACTGGAACAGCTTGCCTCCAGAGGTTGTGAATGCCCCAACACTGGAAGTCTTTAAGAAGATGCTGGATAGCCATTTGTCTGAAACAGTATAGGGTTTCCTGCCTAGGCAAGGGGTTGGACAAGAAGACCTCCAAGGTCCCTTCCAACTCTGCTATTGTATTGTATTGTAAGTTGCCCGTATGATCATTGCTTTGAAATGCCATTTTTTAAGCAAATACTTATTTAAAGCATTTTAAACTTTGCTTTATCCCCTCCCGCACCTCCAAATGTGGTTTTATAATATATTGGCCTCAGAGCATATCTACATCTTTAAAGATCTGATATAGGAAAGTATGAATGAGAAAGAAAAATACAGCCCTAGTGATAAAAAGGCAGTCCTTCACATCACAATCAACTCAGATAGCATATTGGAAAGGCTGCCCTACTTGACAAAGAAGGATGCCGACCACCCAGCACAATTTCTTTTCTTTCTCTTTGTTTTCCAGGCTGCACGAATAGCTGTCACAGGTGGCTTACTGGAACCTACTGCTCTCTCGCTCTCTCCCAAAAGCAATTTGTTTCTTGACACTCACTTACTTACCTGCCCACTGCAATCACATGGCTCACTAAAATCAACATACTCTTCCTCTTTACTGTACATCCCTAAACCCAGCTTGGTTGGGTTTTGCTCAGAATCCACATCAAACTTCATTTTGGCCATGTTATCAAAAAGTTTTGAGAGATGGCGCTGAACCTACAAAATGAATTAGGACAGGTTGCTCATATTTCAAGGAACACTGAACTTAACTACATTAGGCCCAAATGAGGACTTAAAGAAATATCAGTTTGTTACTTTAAGACTACTCTTGTCAGACTTTGAATCAAAGAGAAATACAACTTACATTTTACAGCTCGTTTTCTTAGTTAATTTTCATTTTCAGAGATCTAAATTTTAAAGAACGCCCTTCAACTATAATTGGTATTTAACAGCTTATAAAACAAATCCTGCAATCTTAAAATATATTTATGTAGAAAGCATCTCTCCCTCCGTATGACAAATTGTGTATAAACATTCCTACTTGCCATCAACTAAATATTTCAATTGTGCTTAAAGCTTTGCTAGTTTAATATATGGGACACTAAGATGAAATCATTGAACAGTTAATCCTCTCCAGGTATCAGTAGACAAAACTCCAAGACGACAATGCAAAACTGATAGATTTATCCATATTTCACCATACGTAATATTTATTTTGATTTTACAACACATTTCTTTAGATAGGAATAAAAGACAGAATTAAAAATGTTCCCGCTTCTACTAGAGAAGGCATTATTTTTAAGGCATTATTCTTCACTGAGTTACTCTCTTCTTTTGATGCATTTAAGCCTGGATCATATGAAAAGGCTCTGGTGAATCCAAGGCACAACTGAAGACCATCCTACCTTCCTTCTTCTCTCCTTTATTTTTATATATGCAAAAATAATTAGATCCAGAAGGCAACAGTTGCCTGATATTAAAAGCTATTGTCCCTTGGGTACCACTATGTAAGCACTTCTGATATCGGTGGGTACGAATGCTTAAATAAATGGCTTCATTTTCCACCCTATTTTTTCTCCACTACAAATGATCTTTTCCAATGTGTCTTGCAAACCTCAATATCTATAGCCAACTGGAAAAGTCAGGCACAGTACAAAATATACAGCAAAATGTGATATTCTGCAATTTGCTTGGCATACCTATTCTTCATCTGCAATGGTTTGTACAGGGAAACTTTTCACCTCTTTGCTCTCTCCCGTTACAAACCAATGTTGACTTAATGGAGTTTTAGAGAGAGAAAAATACTAGATGTACAGTCTGCCATCTAGTGGGGATTCAAAGATCCAACATGCCTTGAAAGGGAAGATTTATGGACAATGTCACAGAAATGAAAAAAACAGCCAGTGTTGAGGAACTGATTCCAGCATATTTCCCAAAATGCCATGTTTATAACTGGAGAAAACAATGGAAGTGACTTACCAGCTGTGGATTGGTGCCATTTGAAAGAATATCGAGTAAATCAGCAGAGGAAATAAAGTAAAACCTAGGAAAGGCTAATCGTTTCGTGTCTAAATATTCAGCCAAAGCTTTTTCACACAAAGACAATCTGACAAAATCAAACACAAAATAACATAACTGTATGGAATAAAAGGCAAATACAGCAGTCTAAGTAAATTAGACATGCTGATACACATTTATCCAATTGCACCCTTAATGCATTCACATTTATTGAAATAATGTTTTTATGGTATGTGATAATATATTTCACTTTTAAAAACAAAGGTTCTGTTATTTTTTCCAACTCAACAACTACTTTTGAATGGTTTGTCTGCATTGGGAGAAGTATGTGCAAAATTCAAAGAAAAAGGAAGCCAAGACAAGAACCACAGGTGGTCCTTGACTTACAATTGGTCACTTAGCAATCATTTGAAGTTCCGACAAACCTATCTGGGAGTACTTACAACACGAAGTTGAAGACAGTGCACACACACACTCCATCAAGATCATATGATGCTGCGAATGGCCATAAATGTGGCCCAGTTGCTGAGCAACCGAAGTGCAGTCACATGACCACATTTTAAGCTGGCTTTGCAAGGGGGGGGGCATTTTAAAGGGGAAAAGTGGTTTTTAACAAAACCATACTTATAGTGCACCATTGTTTGGCTTAACAACTGTGATTTGCTTAACAACCAGGACTAAAATGGTTATAAACTCAGCTTTGTCACAAGACCAATCTTTTTTATGACCAGTATGAGTTATATGATGGGCAGGCTGCATTATGGTCATAACTGTGAGGACTATCTGTATATCAATCGTGCTTTAAGTTGAAAATTAATTAATTAAAAGGGATTATTCTTTGTGTTCAGAGAATAATAATAAAGAAGAGATAACAATGATGTTGGACTAAGAGCTTAGAGACAGTCTATCCCCAGTTACAGATACTGACCAAATGACACTGGCCTGTCACTCTCCCTTAGCCCAATCTCCCCCACAGGGTTGTTGTGAAAAATAGGTGGAAGGAGCAATGCCTTGAGCTCCTACAGAAAAAGGTGGGATTTAAAATCTAATAGACAAACAAATACTGTCCTTTACAAAATGTTGGAATCTTAGCTCTGGCCTGCTCATTTGGGGCATTTTAATGTCCACAACCACAGGGCATATACCTCTGTTTGCAACTGAAGAACATAATTAACTCTGCTCATATTATAAAAAGAACAGCTCAAGTGACTGAAAAGTTACCTTAAAGACAGATTTAATCACTCAGAAAAGGAAACTACAAATAGGACCATCCTTACCTACCTAGAAATAGGGGAGCACACAATTCAGGTATATGTATCTCAACGCACCTGTTTTGAATATTTTCTAGTTGCTCATATAACTGTGGCTTCTTAGTTGCCTCTATTACATTTGGGGTTTTCTCCGCATCATAAGCCAGTTCTTTAAAGTCAACATCAATTCCCTCAAAACGTTTGGAATCCTATAAGTGAGAAGACATGAGTCTTACCGTTTTCTTGCGCCTGTCTCTCAAAGGTATTTTTTTATTATTACACATTCAAATCTTTTGAGCAGTGCCTTATCCCAAATATGCAACAGGATGCAAATCAAGATGAGGAATTCCTCTCCAAACATAACCCAGCCACCTCAGACTTATAGCTACAGAAAACACCATAAATTATAGTCTGGAAATTACAAGATAAGCAATGACCATTTAATCAGCAAACTGTGTGCATCAGCCATTTTATACTTTGCAAGAGCTCAAGGAACTTCTTATCACGGTATATTTGCATCCTTTACTTATGCCATCTTATCCAGAAGAGCTGTCTACATTAAATATTTAAAACCACTCCCATTGCTTTCACTGTCACGGTTTCCCCTAAAGAATTGTAATCCTGGGAACTGAATTGCTTTCCTCAGTATGGAGCTGCACAGATTTATTAGCACTACAATTCCAAGATTTCTAATAATTGCTCTCTGACAGTTATGTAGTATTTCCCATAAAAAGGGAATGGTGATTTTTTTTTTTACCTCGGGAAGTTGCGCCCGGATATCTTCTGACCCAATAAATATGCTTTCTAGGTGAGACCAGCTCCGTTGAACTTCAAACCAGATGGAAATGACCGAGTCTGCCGTAGACAGCTTCCTCTGCCAGGAAGACACTTCCTCTAAGAAAAAAGCAATGTATTTGGATGTCATTAAGTTTTGTAACTGCACCTGGTTGTCTTCAAGTGTCTCAATGAGCTCTTCATCAGATTTCAACAATGGGACATTTGTGCGTGGATGAGGTTCATACTGAAACTCCATGCTAGCCCAGGTTGTTTTCAGTTCCTTCACAACTTTCTCCATGCTCATTTCTTTCACGGCTTTGTCAACGATGCTCCGAACTTCATCTTCAAAATTATGCAAGTTAAGTTTGAGCAGGTCTTCCAAAGTGGTGTCCGCATCCATTGTGAAGTACACTCCTGTGGCTTGCATCAATTGATTCCAATGTCTCTCCCGGATGGCAGGATTTTGCAGGTCTGACACTGCCCTCAAGGAGGTCAGGATGTTTTTCACCTTGTTGTCCAATCCTGAGAAAGCATCCCAAGCTCTCATTTCTTTATCCAAGTTCCGGATGCTTTTGGCAAACTTTTTGCATTCCAGTTCCATATTTTCAACGTTGATATCAACCCATTTTGTAGCTTCCCATTCATTCATGCTGGAGAGCACTACGGAGATCATATCCCAGAGTTCTTTAAGAATGCACATTTCCTTTCGGCACTGCTTGAGCTGCTTGTAGTCTGGAACATTAACTTCAAATAATTCTCCTGATTTATAAATTGAGGTCATGGTATATTCCATTTGCTGTAGCTCTGCGTGGGATGCATCTAGCATTTCATAAGGGTTTGTTGCATCAAATCTAGGAAGCAAGTTTTAACTCAGTTTAATCAATTTTGTGTACTTTTTTCCCTCATAAATGCAATTAAATGCTAAACATTAATGACTAGATTATAAAATTGGAACAAGTGGAAATTAAAGAATATGGTATGTTCAACTGCATAGGGAAGAAATATAAACAACTGTCATTTGCCTTCCACCTCACACTTTAGTCTGGCTTGTTGCACCTGCTCATATTTTTCCTGAATGTTGTTTCAAAACAATTTTGGAACCATAAACTTTGCACCTGGGGGAGGGGCACTAATAAAAGACAACAGGCAACAAAACGTATTAAATTTCGACCCCAGAAAGCTAATAAAAATTACAGGCAGGAAACTCTTTCAGAACTCCTGAAGTAAGATGAACTCTGTGGCAAAACCCAGAGGACAAAGGCCAGAAGAGTAGCTTTTTAGCAATTAACTGACCAGGAAATTTCAGGAGAGAGTTGGGTCAAGCTGAGGTGAAAACATCATTTAAGTATTTCACACCAGGCAAAGAAAAAGCCAAGACCAATGCATCAGAACTGCAAGCATAGCGTAATGGCAAATAAAAGGTAAGATATCAACAATACTCATGCCAGGAGCAAAAAGACACCACATGCCTATTCTTTCAATAATAGATATGGAAAGATGCTTTTAAAAAGGGGAACTGTTTTAACCTTCTCTTGCTATTTGGCATTGAGAACACAAGAATTGCAATAACAGGATACTGATTCCAGTGCAAAGAACAAGCCAAATAAATGGGCCTCCCCATTATACCGATGATTTGATCTCTCTATCTTATCACCAGATAAATGTATGCTACCTTCAGTAAACCCACAAGACTTCCATTGCTTCACAGCAGTGATTTGCCCTCACCTGAAAGGCGCCTCTTGGCGAAATCTTTCTCTGAATTTATTCTGCTCCACATCAAACAGAGCACACTTCCTGCGAAGTATGGCCACTTCATTTGCCTGCAAGGGAGCCACCTGCTGCTTCATATTTATGGCCAACTTCTTCACATTGTTCCATTTTTCTGGCAGTTCCTGGAAGCAAAAAATAAATAAAATTATGCTGGTTGCTAAAAAAAAAAAAATAAGATATTTTGTTTCTAAAAGAGGAACCATGCTGCTTAGGTACTTTGCTAGTTATATGTTTTATTCACTAAATATTGTTTTCCTTTTTTTAATTAGGGGGAAACCTATATCTTGCATCCTATTAAGAAGGAGGGAATAATTTTTCATGGTCTTCAGTGCCCCTCACTATCGTCCTCTTGATCCTACAATTCATATTTCTGTGTCACGATCTTAATGAATGTTATTAGATTAGTAACAGGCAAAGGAGAGGTCTTTAAATAGAATAAATGTGGCATGTTTTTAAATAATTATGTCTACAAAAAACAACTTCAAACTGCCATTTTAGCAGAAGAAAAGCAGTTAAAGGGATGAAAATCTGGATGTGTAGTCCATTCGTAGAATTTTTTTCTCAATTCAATAGAAATACCATGTAATGCTGTTATATTAGGGCTACAGCATCCATTGGCAATGTTTGCCAGGAAAGTAAAACCCCGTGACCTGACAAATGTGCGCATGACAAAAGCACGCCGATGTCATCAACGCAACATCATCAATGTGACGACAACAGTGTGCCGACAGAAGTGTGATTTAAGTTAAGATAAGGGTTAGGTTTAGGGTTAGGTTTAGGGTTAGGGTTAGGGTTAGGGTTAGGCTTAGGCTTAGGCTTAGGCTTAGGCTTAGGCTTAGGCTTAGGCTTAGGCTTAGGCTTAGGCTTAGGCTTAGGCTTAGGCTTA